TTGGGATTAGTGGTGAGTTAAAAAAAGGGCCCTGCGAAACGGGACTTGGGTATAGAAAGCCACTAGAATGTACTCTACAGCCCTGGCTTCCCCAGGTAGTCCTCTGGAAGCTTCATATCCCCAGCTTCTCTCTGCAGCCTTTAATTGGACAATTACTTTTCCTTTTCAGTTTGTGGTGGCTGTGTCCTACCTCTGAGCATGCATCCACTTAGCCAAATCCTCTCTGGAAGCCTGTGATAGTTCCCACACAGGCTCTGCAATATAAAAGCAGCTGGGTCACATGAGCCTGTGGGCTGAGAAAAGCTGGCATGGGTGGGAAGGGCAACCTGGTCCCCATTCTGAGGAATTCTGAAGTGGCGAGAGCCTAGTGGAGCTATGAAGAAGAGCAGACAGCTCCCCTCCCCCAGCATTTTTTGATCTGGTTTATGCACAAGGATAAGCTCTTCAAATCTTATCTTCCTCCCTTCCGTCATGGCTGCCAGATTGGAGCTACCAAAGGGAAACAGCTAAAACTAGGGCTGGTTCTGGTGTACTAGGATGATGCTATTGACTGCAATTTACAGAAAGGTCCTGGATGGGCTTTTCAGCCCAAATCCAAAAGGGATTTGCCCCACAGGCCACTACCTCCACAGAGCTGTCCTCCCTGCTGTCCCTTAAATCCAAAGCTCACTGACAATTAGGCAGTACTCCCTGTGGTTACTGCTTACCTGAGTCCATACCAACCCTGTGATTCCATTTCTCTGATACTGGCAGAAGCCTCTCAGGTCAGGGCATTATCATCTGAATTTAATGAGCCCTACTGATTCTAATCTACACTGAGACTTTATACCAAGCCATACCATACCATCTGGGTGTCAGCTGAGCACCTGCTTATGTATTCACATCCAGGGTTTTTAATCAGGTGTCTCTTGTGAGGCCTATAAACACAACCCTGGCTTAGTGCCATTGGACCTCTACCTGGCAGCTGCCTCTTTACACCCACAGCACGTACCAAGAGGCAGAGATCCTACAACACCACATCTAGAAATGCCACACACATATGAGCACAGGACAAGTATCAACTAAGTCCTTAGTACTTTCATTTCTACCTTTGCTTTGTGACCTGAAAGACCAGACAACTGAAGTCTACACACAAGAGTGGCCCAAAGAGGGAAAAGGGAGAAGGCTGGGGTGGAAACTCTTAAGAGCTACAAATTTATCACTCCCTACTAAAGTGGGGTTGGGTCATGGCCCGTAACCTTAAGTCTTGCAGAATATGAAGGAACTGAATGGCCACCTGGGTTTCACTGTTTAGAAAAGAGCAACATGTTACCTGTGTACTCTGGGAAGCAGATGGTCAGGGGGCTGTGGATGATCTTCTCCTCAAAGAGGTCCTTCTTGTTCAGGAAGAGAATGATGGATGTGTCTGTGAACCACTTGTTGTTACAGATGCTGTCGAACAGCTTCATGCTCTCATGCATACGATTCTGGCAAGACAACCAACCAGATGCTCAGTGTGCTGAAGAGAACATGCTCAGAACATAAACCTGGTTAGCAGCTAGGCAACTGGCTAGAGCAGAAGAAAAGGATAGCCTTGTGCGAGTCTGGGCCTCCAGAGATCCAGGTTCAAATGTCTTGCACCACTAGATAACCAAAGTGACCATGAACAAGGGAAGTCATATAGGGTGTGCCTGGGCTACCATTCAGGGTTGATGTTGCAAGTAGCCCAGCTCCTACAAGCCATGCCTCTTCTCTATATTTACTTTGTGACAGCTTCCTCCCAAAAAATGGAAGGAAAGACAGTTTGCTTGCTTGCTTACTTGTCTCCTAGCAATATTAATGGAGATCTTCTAGGATCTCCAAGTCTGCCCACTGCTTGTCTCTTTTTCTGTGCTTGGCTCTAATTGTGGTCAACAGAGATAAGGTGAGGCACAAAAAGGCCATAAATCAGACCAAGAAAGCTGTAGAACTGATGCTGGCCCCTACTTCCTGGTGCTGCAATCTACAGCACCCATGTGAGTTCTGAACCCACTGCAGGCAGGGTTGCAAGCCAGGGAGGAAACCTATCTCAGGTCCTGAAGCTCAACAGAGCTGAAGGCAAATTGGCCTACCACTGGCAGCAGAGAAAGGAAGGGGGAGTCAGGGAGAAGTGGCAGCAGTGTGGACACAGCTTTTAGCTACCTGACCCTGGCACAATTCTGCACTGGCGGGAAGCTACACTACCACCCTAATTGGGGAGCAGGAGGCTGAGGAAAGTGGCAGTAGCAGCATGGGAGCAACTCCCAGCTGCCTGGCTCCAGCTCAGACACAGGAAAAGCCCCCACCACTGATGCACTGGCCAAGCCACCTGGCCCGAACGGACCTGGGTCCAGCTGTTCTGGCCCACAGCCCATTAAGACTGCCAACTGCTTGGTGAGAAGGTGGGATGCAGGGCAGAGATGCTAGCAGTGCAAACATACCCTTAGTGTCTCTGCTCCAATGAGAATAATGGTGCCTCCCTGCTCACAGGCTGGTGCAAGGGTGAGATGTGCTCATGCTATGGTAATGGGAATTGTGCAGGTACTATCAACAGAATGGCATGACCTGGTTTAAGAATGCAGTGAGACCTTTAACAACCAGCATATCTGCCTTTTGTAAGGATGAAGTCCTGGGCATTGTAATGGTCCATGGCCTTGTCAATTATCCACCACTTCCCAGTGGGTCCTGCGGCTAGCGAAGCTTCACACCTGCATTATCTCAATGAGGTGTGTGGTGACAGAGGTTGTAGTTTGGACATGTTCTCTTACTTCGACTACAAAGGTTGGGAATTAGGAGACAGTCACTCAGTTAAACTAATCAGAGATGGACAGAGGGCATGCAGAGGTGGCTTACTGCTCCAGAATAAAACCTGTTGTGTAGCTCTTCTCATTCATTCTTGCCTGTGTTCACTGAACCTGGTGATCACTACCGGGTGGTCATGTTTCTTCTGCATTTGAAGTGAAGTGTTCAGGAAAACTGGTTTTAAAAGTAGTTCTGAGAATGTTTTTAAGCCATGCTAAGTGCTTTTAAGCCATGAATCTCATGATGAGGCAGGCCTTGGAGCAGAAAGGCATGCGAGTCTTATCAGATGGAATTCCCAAAGGCCAGACAGTTACAGCAGGTAAATTTAAGACAGCAGCACGCAGGATTTAATCATCAACATTGTGTGGAGCAAGAGGAAAGAGACAGGAAGAGTAAAAGGAAGATAAATTAGTCTCAAAACGTGCCAGATGCTGGAAAGTGAAAGAAGGGCTGTTCTATGTTTGTAATGCTATTAGGTGATTTGTCATGCCCAGACCTCCTGTAGTTTCTGTGCTGCTAGGGTTCAGATTAACTTTATGCTGGCTGAGGCTGTTGGAGCTGGGAGGGGAAGCCGCAGGAGCTCCTTTCTGGGGTTGGGGCAGTTGCACTTGGAAAGCACAACCACCGCTATCAATTGCTGACCTATGTGTTCCTGAAATTGTGTGCTCCTGAAACTAGGGGTACACCGATAGCGATTTTTGCGGCCGATACTGATAGCCAATTTTTAAGGAGGCATATCGGCTGATATTGATTCGATTTCCAATACTAGGCCAGCAGTGTGTGCATGCACAGGCCATTTATTGGCCAAATAATCGGCCTGATATGGCTGATTTCTGATGCATTAAATTTTCTTTATATTGGTGCCGATCTGATATCGGACCCATGTATCGGTGCACCTCTACCCAAAACACATCAGCCTCATCTTCTGGAATGCCCAGGCTTGGGATAGAGAAAGAAAAGCTGTAACAGTATAAGCTGGTTGAGTCAAAGGGCTCCACATGGAGCCAAAAAACTCTTGGTGATGGCTCAAGCACTCCTGGAGCTGTACTGCTGGCTATGGTTTGGGCCCTGATCACATGGCAAGGCAGCACACAACCTGGTTTCTTATGCTGAAGGCATTGACTAATGAGTCTGCCAGGGTGTGCAGCTCCTGTACTGGTCTAAACATCAGAGACACTGCTCATTCCTGGTCTCTGATGCAGGCAGAATGCTGCAATGGTAGCCAGAAGAGGGCTGGGAAAGATGAAATGAGAAAACCAGAGAGACAAGCAGCCAAGGAGTATAAAGGAGGCCGAAGAGACCAGGCAGAAGGCTGCAAAACCCACCGTTCAGCAGCCATGCCCAGGCTGGAGGAACAAGCCCTTAGTGATGCCCATCACTCAGAATTGGACAGCCAGCAGGTGTATGTCAAAGCTCAGAGCAATCCAGGCCCAGTCCAACCTCTCTCCTTTACTTACCATCTCCTCGTCCTCAGCCAGAACCAGGTCATAAGCACTGAGAGCCACACAGAAGATAATGGCCGTCACTCCTTCGAAGCAATGGATCCACTTCTTCCTCTCCGACCTCTGGCCACCCACGTCAAACATCCTGCAAGCAAACACCCCATGTCACTATGGCACTGGAGCTCATATACCTCTCTACTGGAAAGCTGTCCTAGTTCTTGGAGCAGAGGTCTCTAAGCAGCTGGCTTCGCTACTGACTGGCTGAAGGACCTCTGACAGGCTTTATCACTGCTCTGTGTGTTAGTTTTCCCCACAAAGAACATCAACCTCACAGAACCAAGAGCTCAGTTAACCAGCTGCAGGCTGTCCTAAGAGGCTCAAAGGCTCTAGCAAAGTAAATCATTCTTGCTGTAAGTCTTGTATAAAGTAGCTCATATGACTTAAACACTCCTTCCTCGTCTCCAAAGCATTAGTGGAGCTGGCCAAATGGCAATGGACTGGCTGACAAACTTTGGGGCTGGGTGCAGTTAGGCTCCCTCAGCTCAGAACAGAAACAAGCTTTTTACCTTCACTCCTAGACTTGGACATGAGACATACAGCTGCAACCAGGTCCTCCCCAAACTACAGCTTATAAGCAAATCCATAGTCATTCAGCAGCTTGGATGACTCTAATCATGGTTTGTGTCAGGACACTACCTGATTGGTACTCAGTAATTCAAGCAGGTAACTGTGCTTTGTTGCCTTCGCCATTCAGGCAAACTCACAATGCAGTTTAAGTGTAATTAGTGCCTGTATCTGTGCAACTAGGCTACCTGATGCTCCCTGCCATATGCATTTTTGCTGCATGCACGAACCCTCTGGGCATTTAAAGGTACGATGGGAGACCTGCCACATTCTCCTAGAATGCACTTGTACAGCTAGGACTGGGTGTCACTGGAGCACAAACATGGGGAATAAACTGTTGCACAGACACAGCTCAATTGTGCTGTACTGGGTCATATGGCTGTCCCCTCCCACAAGTAACTGCAAAATCAGAGTTGGCCTGGAATGAGTTAGAAGCAGAAGTGATTTTCTCAGGGGAATATTCACAGGCTTCTATCTATTTTAACATGTGTTAGCTGGTCAAGGCAAACTAAGGCAGCCTCCTCCCCTCACAACCCCTGGATCTCTCTCAGCTGTCCAACAGGTGTTAAAACTACAGGTTGCCTTGCCCACATTAGGTTCTAACATGCAGCTGCTGACATGCAGATAGAAATGTATCCTTCCCCTATGGTACATCTTCATAAGAAGACAGACATGTTTTTACCCCAAGTTAGTCAACGTAAGGTAAAAGCCTAATTAGGACAGAGAAAGTTGCCAAAATGAAAACTACCAATGATTCAGTTTGAGGTGGGACGTTACAACATGCTTCCTTTATTTCTGCAAAGTGTAAGCCACCCCTTTTCCCTTAAAGAGGAAAGCACCCTTTTTTCCAAGGAGGTATTACTTCAGCTCTTATAAGAGCGTGGAATATGTTCTGACCCCAGAAAGAAAGGACAGATCTCTAGGAAGACATTGTCAAGAAGAGCTTGGAAGAAAAAGCTGTTCCCTCTGCCCATTTGTCAGGGGGAACTTCAGCAGCCTTGTACACATCTGGACTGCTGCACAGACAGCTTGATGGAAATACTTAGCTTTGGAGCAGATTATACTCATCATATGTATCACCACTGAGCTAAATAGGATTAGAGCACAGTGTTATGGCACAATATGCAGGTGGTCCCAGGGAGTAGTACCTGACTGGTTTAATGCATGTGCTCTGTGTTAACCTGGTGAGCATGGTACTTAGCAACCCATCCCTTGGCTGTCAGAACGTGCAGAGCAAGAGTCAGGGGCTGTTATTCCCTGCTCTGCTGCTGAAATGATGCATGGCACTGAGCTAATCAACTTCAGCTTTCTGTGCCTCAGTTTCCCCACTTGTAAAATGGGAATGATCAGCACCTGCCACAGCTTTGGCAGGTAATGTGTAGACAGCGCTGAATAACAGCACTGTATCATGAGCTCACAATAGCATTCTAGCTTCTTGGGGGTGCAGCAGGACCTTCCTGCTGCTCAAATCTAAGCTCTGGTGTCAAATTTGGCATGTTCAACTACCTCCACACAGAACTGCATGCAGATGCCTAGAGGGGTAACAAAAACCAGTTTAGTGAAACTGGTTCTAATGAATTGATATTGGTTCCACTACATTCAGTAAACGACAAACTGACCTGATTTAACTGCATCTGCACAAGAAGGGTTGCCATGATGTAGGTAAATTGGTGAACAGCTGCACACACACAACAAATATATTGTGCCAGGCCAGATTCAGCTGTGATCAGATGGATTTAAGCTGCTCCACTGTCCATCTTCTGAGATGGACAAACTGCAACCCTATCAGACCTCTAGCCACCCACAGAGCTGTGCAGGAGAAACATGCTGGAGAAGACTGAATTTCTGATACTGAAAACAAATGAAAACCCAACTGTTTCAGGCCTTTTTTCATACATCATTAAAACATCAAAGATGGCTGAAATCCAAATGCATCCCCCATGCCAATTATGAGAGACTGTGAGCAATTTCACTAGACAAGGATTCCCTGCTCTCATGGCCATTACTGGAGGAAAAGGAGCAAGTGTGGCTGTCACTGGGAAAAATCAGGGTTTATTATATGCAAAATATTTTCTGTTACTGTTAACTCTATTAGAGACAAAAAAAAGTGCTTCTGCAGGTTAAGCAAATGCAGAAAAAGGGAGAACCAGTCCCTTCTGATCTCCCAGAAGCAGAAACAAATCAGGGCAGTTTATACACTGACTTAGTTCTGTCCAAACCATTTCTTTCCACATCCAAGCAGCATATGCCAGCACAACCCAGTAGGTGAGCTGGCCTGGGAAGAGAACAGCACAAGGCTATGCTGAACTATCCCAATTTGGACATGGCCCATAGAGACCATGACTCCTAGCATGTAGCACCCTTCTTTGTTTCAAATAGAGGTCTGGAAGTCTTATGGGTTTCTACAGCATTGAGTCTCAAGGCAACTGGGTATTGAGGATCCTGGTGGAGTCTTCTATTCTGGCTATGGTGACAGAAGCTGCTCAACACAGGTCAACTAGATCAGGGGTGCTCAGCCTCCAGCCCATGGGCCAAATGCATTTTGTGGAACCTTGGAATCCAGCCTGCGGGACCCCCATGGGTTAGGAAATGGGGGTGGGGGGAGCATAGATTCATAGATGTTAGGGCCGGAAGGGACCTCAATAGATCATCGAGTCCGACCCCCTGC